ACAAACTCAGCAGCAGAGTGAGGTATGCTGACACAGGCAGTGCTGTTTTCCCTCTTCCACAGCTCTGCCTTTTGAAAGCATCCTTTTGCTGGCTGAGGTCACACGTAGCAGAGAGCCGTAGTGGTAAAGGGAATCAGCACATCTCCAGGTGACTGTATTCATGGTGGGGAGCATGGGATGCCTCAGCTGCACTACTATACGCCATCAAGGGCTCCAGCCCACTGTTTTTAAGCCCATCTGCTACTCCTTTACCAACTCCCACAGGAAGAAGCCTCAGCTGGGATGATGCTGCTGTGGGGCTGCTGAAGCAAGGCACAGCCCCGTCACCTGCAGGAGCCCATCCCACAGGGAGGGAGGTGGGAGAGGACCTTAGCTCAGGGACTGGAGTTTAAATACCATGAGGTTGGTGCTTAACAAGGGGCAACCCCCATTGCTGCTCCAGCTGCCACGAGCAGTGGGGCAACTGTTCTCACCTATACTCTGTTGGGTACTGCACTTCCAGCTTCCCACCATCTTTCTTCAGTGCTTACCCACCCGTGTGTGCTCTGGATGTTCCCCTTACACCAGCTCCTTCCCTGGACAGAAGATTCCCTGCAGGTGTAGGACATAAACAAGACAGCCAGCTGCAACTCAGGCAGACAGTATCTAAACCCTTCTCTGCTGGGCAGTGCAAAGGAAGTAGAGCAAGCCCAGGGGCAGGGAGACAGACTGAAATGCTGAATGGCCGTCAGCCTTGCCTTTGGTTGGAAAACAGTTTTAACTGAGTGCTCAGGGAGATTTCCTGCACTGCTCAGTTTCCTTTAAAAGCAGAGACTTTGCAAATGCCCTTCACCTCAGTTTTTTTTTTTCCCCGTGATGAGGAAACTTGGTCACAGGACAAGAGACTTACCTAATACTATATCACAGGTAGGGCAAGGATAACCGTGTTTCCCCCATCACTATCCAGGGCTCTGTCCTCTAAACCAAGCTTCCACCTTTGCCTCAACCCTAGCCAGCTGCTTTTGCCATAGCTTGGACTAACCAGCTGCAAAGCCTGGGCAGGCATACAGCCATACAGGCACCAGCCAACACATATCACTCTTACCTGATATTAGGGACATTAACATAGACAAATGACATGGGAACAGAACATTCCTACAAGACACAACTTGAATTTGTGTTTATTTTATATATATATTTATGTATATACCTTTGTTTAGATAAACGGGGTGGGAATTTATCATATACATTTTTTTGGTATAATACATGAGAAACAGGAACAGGAACATAGCAAATATAAATTGGTACATTCCTTGAGCAAACTCTTTGCCACACTGAGACTGAAAAATTGCATGCAATGGGGAGACAGAGAGAAGGGAAATCAATTTTATTTAAAAAAAAGAAAGACAATCTAGGTACAACTGTCAACAAAGGAGCAGCACTATATATGGCAAACCTGTATAAATTAAAAGTAAATTCCACTCTGACATCTACTATGCTTGAAAGTGCAATGAAGCCTGATTTATTTACCTACAGAATACAGGAAAGTTTACCCCCTCTCCCCATTCCAATCTATCCCTAAAAAAAAAAACACCAAACAAAAAAACCCAATAAAATAAATCTAAAGGATATACATTATCCACAGTCCTATAGAGATGCCTACATCTACTCAGTAGCACCAAGAATCTGATATGGGTGTAATTAAAATCAATTAAAACTTGGGAGCAATGGTAACATCTGTTTGCTGCTTCTGCAGACCTCCTGCCCTTTATTAGTGTCTTGGAGGAGAGGCGGCCCTCC